ACAGAGCTTTTAAAACTGGCAGGACAGCTTGAAATTCAGACTTTTCAAAGAATGTGTATAGTTCACCTGACAAAAACAGCGACCATGGGAGCTAAACTAGTAGAGAAAAGAAAGAATACCTGCAGTTAAAAAAAAATCCTCAGTCCTGAGCTCAGCACTAGAGCTGAAGGCAAACACATAGAGGAAAGCTGCTCTCCCAGTCTGTGAGGTGCAGAGCAGGATTCAGTCAGCCAACACCTGCTGACACAGGAATTCAGGTGGAAATCAAGGCTATAACTTCAAAGAGTGTCTATAAATATTTACATTTGTTTTTTCAAGTTCTGGCATTTAAATAAGTGGCCAGAAGTAAAAGAAAGTTTGTATTTGTGTGTACTTTTAGAATATTTTAGTTCCCAGAATCAGAGCTTTGCAAGGAGCTCCAAAGATGCAAACAAGCATCTTATGAGTCTGATACTGCAGAGCATCAAGCAAGAGGGTTGGACGTTCTCTGAGAACAGAAGCAAATGCAGTGCAGTGCTTTCAGCCAAAGGAAAAAAAATGTCTGTTAATTACATATAATTAATTAGCAAACTTTCCATTGGGGAAGGTTTTTGTGGTTCATTAGCATTCAGTTAACTTGGAGTATTTTAAAAGTTTACAAAAACAAATACAGAGGAAAAACCAAGTTTTTAACGGGAGAGAGGTCCTTCAGGATGCCACTGTAACCAAATTCAGAATTCTGCATATCCAAAAGAACAGACACTAAACCCTGGCCCTTGCAACTCAGAATCACAGATTATCATAGAATCATGGAATGGTTTGGGTTGAAAGAGACCTTCCAGACCATCTCATTCCAACCCCCTGCCATGGGCAGGGACACTTTCCACTATCCCTGCTTGCTCCAAGCAACATTTCCAGGGATGGGGCAGCCATAATGGCATTATTAAAAAAGAGTCTCTATTATTTAGCTCTGGAGTCTGCCCTTCTGAAACTCATGATGTACTTCTGGATGTAGATAAAAGCATGCACCCAGACTAGGTAGGATTGTGCACAACATCACCTCCTGCCACTGTTTATCTCAGTCTCGGAAATCCTCTTACACGGCTATTGTCTGTGTTAAATTCTTTCAGTCTCCCTTACTGAGGCTATTTTTGCATTTCTTTGTAGGTTCTCCCTAATCTTAGTCTGCCTTTTGAGCTGAAGGTTTCATCTCTGCTTCTCAGGGGAATGTACTGTTTGTGCTGGACAGATAAGTGATGGCCATAGATAGCTGCTAACCCAGACTATGTCAGCAGAGCTCTTGCTGTAAATGCAAAGCACTGCAGGCAAATTTGGATTGGATTAAGGACAACCAGTTTTCCTCTGTCTAGGCCTTATTTTTATGGCTACTTCTGGCAGGAGGGCTTACCCCACACAATGCAAGCTATTGTGAAGGCTCTCTGTGGTAATGTGTTTTGGTGGTGAATTAAGCTAAAACCAGCCTGGTTCACCAAACTTCAAACACACATCCTGCTTTTTAAAGCTGGATGTGACAGATAAGCTGGTAGCTGGCCTGGAAATTTGTGACTAGCAGTCAATCACTTTGTACTATAAAAGTCCAGTCCCCTTTCATACAGGCAGGTTCTTCTGACATAACCCTTCCTGGGGTGTGTGAGTGGAGATTCCTCCCTTGGCTGGGGACACCCCCCGGGGTCACTTCTCTAGGGTGAGAGAAAGAGATCTCCCCAGGTGTGTTGGTCTGGGTGAGTTACATCAAATCTCTACCCAACAATCATTTCTTTTTGCCAACTTTGATATAATTGCTTCAATAATTGCTTCAATAATTGCTTCAATATAGTGCACTAACCTATCTTATACTGTACTACTAGTAGGTTTAGTGCTTATGTTGTGTAGTAAATAATTCTGATTAAGATCTTTTGTCTGTTCACTCATCTGACCGTTTGTAATAGTAAGTGATTCATTTTATATAAATATTCTCAGTTTGCCATCACTGAAACTTGTGGGACAAAAGTGGTTCAATCACACCCCTGTAATTCCTTAAATTTAAACCGTTGACAAAATCTGAGGCTAAGATTGGATCCTTTCTACACCTCGTGACTCAACGGCAGGGCTTCTTTAATAAATTTTGTCTAAGCCTTCCACTCCCACCCACGACACTACTCGTTATCAGGACTTACTTTTGCTTAATGCCGATGGAGAATGAGATCACTAAGCCTGTCCTGTTACAAACAGACCTCCCATGCTCAAGGTCAAACAGGAATCAAATAGTTCTATTTTTGTCTTTTTTTTTTTTTTTAAAGGACAACTACAATATGTATCTTAAACATATGTAGCACAGCCAACGTGATACTCAGGAGAAAAAGCAAATGAATTTGCCTCCATTACCAACAACTAAACAGAATTCTAATTTTGTTTTCTACACAAACCAAAGGGAAAAGAGAGAAAGTGGTCAGCATTTTCTGGGCCGTTTGTTCCACACTTCAGGACTGCCCAGTCCTCAGACTGTGGAATTATTTACACCTCCCTTTAAACATTTAATGGCTTCAGCTGCTTCTGAAGTAAGATTTTCTGTAAGATTAAACTACCACCAAAAAAATTAAAAAAGATAGACCACCCCCCACCCCCAATAAAACAAGTACTCTCTAGTAT